TTTTGTACCTTGTATCCAGAGCATGGAGATTGAGTCTGCTCTTGTGTGCTGTATCCAGAACATGGAGATTGAGTATGATCTTGTATTTTGTATCCAGAACGCAGCCATGGAGTGTGCTCGTGTGCATTGTATCCAGAACGTAGCGATGGAGTGTGCTCGTGTGCATTGTATCCAGAACGTAGCGATGGAGTGTGCTCGCTATGGCGTATGCTCGTGTGCATTGTATCCAGAACGTAGCGATGGAGTGTGCTCGTGTGCATTGTATCCAGAACGTAGCGATGGAGTATGCTCGCTATGGCGTATGCTCGTGTGCATTGTATCCAGAACGTAGCGATGGAGTGTGCTCGTGTGCATTGTATCCAGAACGTAGCGATGGAGTGTGCTCGTGTGCATTGTATCCAGAACGTAGCGATGGAGTGTGCTCGTGTGCATTGTATCCAGAACGTAGCGATGGAGTGTGCTCGTGTGCATTGTATCCAAAACGTAGCGATGGAGTGTGCTCTTGTGCATTGTATCCAGAACGTAGCGATGGAGTGTGCTCGTGTGCATTGTATCCAGAATGTGGATATGGAATATGCTCGTGTGCATTGTATCCAGAACGCAGCCATGGAGTGTGCTCGTGTGCATTGTATCCAGAGCGTGGAGATGGAGTGTGCTCGTGTGCATTGTATCCAGAACGTAGCGATGGAGTGTGCTCGTGTGCATTGTATCCAGAGCGTGGAGATGGAGTATGACCTTCTTAGAGTGTGTCCAGAATGTCTATACCGAGTGTGATCTTGTAGATCGTATCTAGAACGTGGAGACTGAGTATGCTCTTTCACGCTCTATACTGAGTCTGCTCTTGTGCATTGTATCCAGAAGAATCCGTGTGGCAGGCATGGTGGGTGACTTCATTTCGATTGCCTGCAGAGAAGGATGAAGGTGCTAAGCTCTCTGAACGCCGTGTTTTCTCAAGGTGCCGTGTCTGCAAACAAGATCATTACCAAGTCGCGATCCATGTCTGTCGGTCCTGCCTTTGCAGAGACGGTTT